GAGCTTTTTTTTCTTACTTTTTTTTTTTTTTGTAAATTCCCTACTTTAGGCTTCTTTATGTGATAGATGCGAAGTTAACATTAACTTCTAATTCAGGGAGCGAGGTTTTGTGTTTCTGCTTCTTCTCGACCTTTGTCACTATTTTCCCTGATAGTTGGATGTTGATACAGGTCGCTTTTATCATATTACTCTCTTGTGTAAATATGTGTGGAGCTCACTGACTACTTCGATGATAGGAATGAGGAATAAGAATTAATACTACAAGACTGACACCTATAAAAGATTATGGGATAAAATGGAAGAAATGAAAAGGAGATATAAGGATAGTTTGTACTGCTGGAGAATGAGTAATTTTTCTTCCATGCCTACAACCTGAAAGTTGAAGGCTGCCTGTCAAAGATCTAGAATAAGCTACAATATCGAAATTACTATAGAAACGTATTTATTGGTTTATCCTTTTTTCTTTCAAAAATTAATTGGTTTATTTGTTTATTTGATTTCTAATAATAGACTTGCGAAGCTATTTAATTTAACATTCAAATTCTTACTTCAAAGTTCAAACTCACAATCCCAATGTTCTCTTACAATACATTTGAAATCCTCTAAATTTGTTTCTCTTATATTCTCATACCCAATTTGCCGCAAATTTATTCAGATTCAGCAGAGCTCTTTTTTTTTTTGTTCATTATAGACTTTAAAAATTGACAATTATTCATATATTCTTTTGACGAACACTGCTGCCAGTGGCGGAATTAGCTGGTGTGAGGTGGAAACTCTTCATCTGAAAATTACATTATATAGATAGAGAAAAATGATCTCTTTTTTTGTTATATGTGAGCTATTAAATTTCCTTGATATAAAGAAAAACCCAACAATAATAGTAAAGGCGGTTCAAAATTGCTTTAGGTCATAGGCTCAAATTTCAACTGTCATGTAATAATATTTTTTGAATCCCCTTGTATAATTTTTTGATTCCACCATAGACTGTTGCTTCCTAAATTTTATGTGGAATCAATATACAACCACAAAAATTCTACAATATTCAATAACTAATGTGTAACATTTTTCAGTCTTATTATTTTATTTATCTACTTCAATTGATAATGATTATTAATATGAGGTATGTTTGCTTTCGGTATTTTACTTATAATCATTTCTTATTTCTATATTTTTGCGTAATTTGGTAAAGAATTGAAGATTCATGATAGAGATGAACTTTCAATTGCTCTACAAATTGTGTTGGAAATATAGAGATTAAGATATTTTGAATAATGTTGTTGATTAAATTATGAATGTTAATGGAAAGATGTAGATAGTCATAGTACTCCATGATTCTATATTATATAATAATACTCTTCTCTATATATTTTTGTCACCTTGGTTTCACTTTATGGTATGTTCATACTTTTCTCAGTAAACATAATCTTTAAAAGCAGGCATCACTTGCTTATCAAAAAAGAGCATGCTTCACAGAAACTGTCTTTTTTTCTCCTTTGGTTGCTTTCTTTCCTTCATTTTTCCCTTGGGGGTAAAATAATTAGTAAATTAAGAGAATCATATGATAATCAGACACCTTTTATTTTTAATGATTTATCATCTTTCTTTTTGGTTACTTATTTTGGTTAAAGAGTACTCTTGAAAGTTTTTATTTCTTCGATGATTTGTGATTGTGTATTTTTCTATAGGACAAAAGTCGTGAACGTCTCTAAACTTTCTTTTTCCTATTTGGACATGAATTAGGATTCTCAGTTAAAGTTGGTGGTATTGCCTTGGTGTTTTACAGGTTTATTCTGTGAAGTGAGAGGAAAAGATAAGATGTGATGGTGTAATGGAAAAGAAACCAAAAGAGTGAAGAATACGAGAAAATGAACGGGAGAAGGGGAGAGCGCTACTTTGTAATGTCAGTGATGATATAGTGTTATGTGGTAAAGATTTGGTTCTCGTGCAGTGGTGAGTGAATACTTTCTTGTTTTAACAATCAATGATAGAAAGGGAATGGCCTTCCAATTTGATAAAGGAACCTTTTTTAAGAAAGTTTCTTACCTTCAAGGTTCTATATTCCCTACCTTTTAGGCTTTGAGGAGATGAAGCTAAGTGCTGCTTAGCACGTGGTTTGTTTTACTTTTCCTCACTATTATAGCAATGTTTAATGTTATTTGGAACTAAGATCAAATTGTTTGCTCTTTGTTTAGTGTCTAGAGTAGCTACTGTAATAAATTATTTGTATATAATTATAGGATTTGATGACACTTTTTACACCAGTACTATTGAATAGTGTCAAAAGATGAGTAAGTAATTGTTTGCACTTCACTTTGTTATTCCAAATACAATTATAGGACTTGATGATACTTTTTATACCAGAATTATTTTTCGAACATTTCAGAATTTTGTCAAAAGATAGAGTAACTAATTGTTTGCACTTCAATTTGTTATTCCAAATACACTAATAAACTCATAAAATATCGTGATCCTATAGCAATCCAATGATTCAGTGATCTCCAAGATGGTTGGTGAATTTCGAATATAGATAAGTTGTCAATTACTTGTACTTTAATTCTCATCTTCTAACATGTTGCAGTATTTTTACCTGTAAAAAGAAAGTTTCTTGATTTTTACTACATAGAATATCATTTTCATTCTTTTCATCAGCAAAGTATCTGGAAAAGAAAAAGAAGAAAATGTCAATCTTGAAGTTTGTAACTCTTGTTTCACTAACTGATAAGATTGAAAATGCTATCTTCAGTATTCCGAGGATCCAATCTATCCAAAGAAAGAATTAGTTCACGTTCCAAAATTTTCAACTTCCTTAGCATTTTTCCGAGTATATATAAACTCCATTCTAGAAAAAGAAATGTAATATACTATTATAAAGAACTTTTTTTTTTCTTTACTTGATCTAATATGTTATACAACCGCGCGAAGCGTGGTATATTTACTAGTTTCTAATAATGCCAGTTCAATATTTATGTCATTATTTTGGAAAAGTTGTTTCTTTGATTTGGATATGTTTTAGTAAATGTTTTCCTATTTCAGTTTCTTGCCTTTGGACTAAAATGAAAAATACTTGGATTCAGATTTGGTATTTGTATGGTAAAAGATAGAGTTACCACGTGGTCTAAATAAGTCTTTACACGTGTCAAAAATATTAGAAGATCACAGCGAAGTTGAAGTCCGATATCAGTCGAAGTTCAGAGTTATTCAGTACCAGTAATATTGGACTCGTAACGAAATTATTCATGAGACAGCACGCAGACTCTCCCGTGAATATGGAAAAGAGGAGAATCAGTCAATCCCGGATAAAGCAAATTTTTGTATAATTTCCCGATCAGTTACAGTTTCTTAGCGTAACGTATAGAAAATACTATTAATGGGCTTAACGGGCTAGCGAGATATTAGGAGAGTATTTATGAATAGTTTTGCTATTTGAATCCCTCTTTCCCTTGCATTATATCCCATCTCTAAAAACTATTCTTTGACTCCCCGATTGCTGCACTGTATTTCTGGCAAGTCAGGAGAAATATATATGAAAAAAAGAAGCTATTTTGATCAATAACAACTCTCTTCCTTTTTTATTTTACTAGTATTCGTACCCGCGCAATGAAAAAAAAATTAATTGAATAATACGGTAGACACAAAGGAGCATGAAAGAAATCTAATTTTATTATTCATTGATTCCTTATATATGTTGGGTCTTGTTGCTCTTCATATATTTACATACATAATCAACACACATTATGTGTTTCAAACAAAGAGAAAATCAAGAAAGATAGCATACATAATTTACTTAAAGCTTCTAGCCAATACTGTAAAGAAAATTTTTGGGCTTTACCATTCTTAGATAAACCTTTGCCTATCTGCACGAAGAAACGAAAATGTTAGTGAAATTAATTACTTATAGAATTGATGTGATCCAAATTTACTTTGACAGCTCTAGTTCTTGCTCTTGACCATCACGAAATTGATGTCTCATGCTTCTCAAGATCAAGAAATGAAATAGAAGTGTGTTCGACTTATGCCAACTGTAAAAGCTTCCACCTGTAACAAATAGAAAAGGGTATCAGAAAAATCTGAAATCAATACAACTTTATTTTAATAGAAAGGAAATCAAAATACATACTAACTTTGCTGAATGAATATTGTACTCTATGTTAATTTTCATCTCGTCCTAAAGCTTTTGCATACTTTCTCCAAATTTATAGTTGTCTCATGTTCTGTGCTACTACTATATGCCAAAAGCTGTAAGGTTTGTCATGTTTTTCCTTTAAGGATAAGGACTTGACAAACTTATCAGTTTGGGAATGTTAAGCAAGTATTTCTAATGGACTGTATAAGCTTGCGAGAGAAAAGTAGATGCACGAAAATAAATGTGCATTTTCAATCAACATTTTATGGTCCTTAAAAACACACGTTTCACAAAGAGATATTACTTGAATTGCGAAAATTCTAATTAAATGAGCTTCTTGATCATTAGTCGCGGCTTCAACAATACATAACTTTATAAACGCATCATGTGTACATTCAAGTTGAAAATAAATATTGGAAAGTGTGAAAAGTCCTCTAACCAAAAAAATGATATAGAGAGATAAGAATGATAACTACTGACCAAATACACACCAGATTTCTTAACTGATAAAATTGTGTCATGTGTTTTAGAAGAATAGTTTTTATGATTAATAAAAGAGTAAAGAGACAATTACGGTTATAACTTGTTGAAGAAGGATAAGACTGAGTCGGCACTCTATTAGACATCAAAAGAAACGTATCCTAAATATTTCATTTCAGATCTCAAAGAACATAATACCAAGATAAGAGAACTATGGATGACCTAAGAATATACAGTTGAATATGCATGACTTTTTGTGTCAGCTTTGTATTTGTTGTCACGACTCAAATACCTAACCCGTCGTGATGGCGCCTATCGTGGAACTAGACAAGCCGACATTCTCAATATGCTTTCAATATATGATAGAAATGAGCTAAAGGAATTAAATTAACCGGAGGTTTACATAATAACAGGGTTAAACCCAAAACACAAGTGCGGAATAATAGCCCGACATCGGGGTGTCACTAAGTCATGAGCATCTAACAACCAATCTAGAAATAGAGTCTACTACAATCTGTACCAAATGCCAATACAAGAGAGAAAAGACAATAAGAAAGGAGAAACAAGAACTGCGGATGCCAGCAACTACCTCGTAAGTCTCCGATAATCAGCTCGCGCACGAATTCAGCGACTGTCAGAACCATACACACCTGGATCTGTACATGAAGTGTAGGGTGTAGCATGAGTACAACCAACTCAGCAAGTAACGGAATTAAATAAGGAACTGAGAAGCAGTGACGAGCTATATAAAAAAAATACAGATCATTTCAAAAGTTTTCAGTAAAGAGTGAACATGCTTTCAAATCCGGTGGTATAAGCCAATTCAGTTCGAGCTCAAGTAAAACAGATATGAATCCTCCATAAATTTCACAACAACAATAGATAACAACTAAGTACAACAATAAATAAAAACAAATACAGTCTCTCAAGGCAGCAGTCACTCAACTCATCTCAACAGCTCATATTATCGGCTCTCAGCCCTCAACACATACTCTCAATAGGTACCTACGCTCACTGGGGGTGTACAGACTCCAGATGGGCTTCTTCAACCCAAGCGCTATATTGCTGCAGCGTNAGAGAATACAACAAGTATCAACAAGAAATGAGAGGAAACAGAGATATAACACACAAGTAAGACTATGAATGAGTGCAAGACAGCAATTAGCAGTCAATTCAATAAGTATACGACCGCTGCGGGTCCCAACAGTGAAATCATATGGCCTAAGCATGGTTTCTAACATGAAAGGCAGTCAATTGCTCAAAGACAAAAAAAATAAGTAATAACAATGGCTATTCGACTTTACAGTCTTACGGAACGGACCAAGTAACAATCCCTCATGGTTCCCGCTCACACGTCCGTTACCTAGCATGTGCGTTACCTCCAAATATTCACATCATACAAACTCTCGGGGTTTCATACCCTCAAAACCAGATTTAAGACTGTCACTTACCTCAAACCGCGCAAAATCCTACTCCGAAATGCCTTTGACCCTCGAATCAATCTCCAAACTCCCCGAATCTAGCCACAAGCAGTACGATATAATTAATATAAGCTAAAAGAATCAATCCCACAAGAAAAATACGAAATTATAAGCCAAAAATTCGAAATCGCCCTAAACCCGGCCCCCTGGGCCCTCTCGAAATCTGGCAAAAGTCACAAAAATTGAAAGTTCATTCAGTCACGAGTCTAACCATATCAAATTTACTCCAATCCGATAACAAAATCCCATTCAAAACCTCAAAAATCTAACTCAAGAACACTCCACCTTCTTCCCCAATTTTTCACCCCAAATCACAAATTAGATGATCCAATTAAAGATATAATCATGGGTTTTAACCAAATCTAAGTAGGAATCACTTACCCCAATCAACTCCACAAAAATTCCTTCAAGAATCGCCAAATTCCGTGTTCTCTAGCTCAAAATATGCAAAATGAGTTCAAACCCTCGTTTTTGAAATTAATACTATCTGCCCAGATTTCTTTCTTCGTGAACGCGACCGTCCTCTCGCGTTCGCGCAAACCACTCAGACAGCCTCTCAACGTAACTCTTCGTGAACGCGAAGCTTTGCAAACTTAGACCTTCGCGAACGCGTCCCTTACCTTGCGAACGCGTAGAACAAAAGACTGGGGGTCCCCAGCTACCTCACTCCCCTTCACGAACGCTACGCCACTCACGCGTTCGCGATGCACACACTGCCATACCTTCGCGGATGCGTAGAGCAAAATCTCACCAAATCAGAAACACTCTTCGCGAACGCAAGGCTCCTCTCACGAACACGTAAGAAGAAACCAGAAAAATGCAGCAGCAGATATCAGCTATCTCACCAAGGCCAAAACTGATTCATTAACTACCCGAAACTCACCCGAGGCCCCTGAGACCTCAACCAAACATACCATCATGTCCCAAAACACTATATGAACTTAGCTGAATCCTCAAACCACCTCAAATAACATCAAAAACACAAATTACTCTCCAATCCAAACTTAATGAACTTCAAAATTTCTAAATTCTACAAACGATGCCGAATCATACCAAACCACATCCGATTGACCTCAAATTTTGTACACAAGTCATATTCAATATTACGGACCTACTCCAACTTCCAGAATCAGAATCCGACCCCCGATATCAAAAAGTTAACCCCCGGTCAAATTTTCCAAAAATTCGAGTTTCGCCATTTCAAGCCTAAATTAGCTACAGATCTCAAATTCACAGTCCGGACACGCTCCTAAGTCCAAAATCACCCAATAGAGCTAACGGAACCGACGAAACTCCCTCCCGTAGTCGTCTTCACACAATTCTGACTACGGTCAAAATTCTAAGACTTAAGCTTCTGTTTTAGGGACTATGTGTCCCAAATCACTCTGAAACCAAAAACAAGACCTCCTGATAAGTCACGTAAGCAAAAACAAATACGGGGAAAACAGAAATCATGTGGTACAAATCCCCCTCTTTATGAGGAAACTCAAGCTCTCCATTAGAAATTCCCTCATTTACATATATATAGATATAGTGGGTCTCATCAGATCGATTGTCATAACACAAATCGGAAAAATTCACAGATACATTGGCTTCTTACAAAATATTACGCATGATTCCATGAGGATATGATATAGAAAATGCCGAGGCGTACGGCCCGATCCAACATAAATATTTAAACTGAGCACTGCCGAGGGTCGAACGGCACGAACCATAGATACATCTATTAAACTGCCGAGGCGAACGACCCGCTCCCATGAGAGTGTGGTACATAAATCCTGCCGAGGCGAACGGCCTGATCCCATTAGAATAAGAAGCTTTGACGGGTCCTTGACCCCACTCACGAATAAACGTGTGAGTTGTAATTTCTTTAACCAAAACCTTTCAATGAAGTATATATATATATCACAGAAACATACCGTAGGAGGAGTGAAGTTATTCGATGATGAATCGTGAAATCGTGAAGTCTCTACAATAACAAGTCTAGTCTTAAGTAGAAATATAAAATAGAGGAATTTAATAGGCGAGAAAATTCTCAAATAGTGCAGCTGCATCATGATATGAACCTAAGCCTACCCGGACAATAACATGAATATAGCTACGTACGGGCTCTCATCACCTCGCGCGTACGTAGCCCCCACAACAAGCAGCACACATCAACATACAACACCTAGGGGTATTTTCCCCCCTCACAGAGTTAGAGAGGAGACTTACCTCGTCTCAACGCTTACTTTCCGGTCCAAAATTGTGCTTTAAATCCTCAACTTGGTGCCAAACGACCTGAAACTAGTCAAATGTTATATAAAATAGTCAATACATGCTCAAGAGTTCACATCCTAACTATTAAAGTGATGTTTCCAACCCAAATTGAAGAATTTCTAAAATTCACCCCGGGCCCACGTGCCTGGATTCCGAAAATGTTCGAAGATAACCACTACCCATAATATCAGGAACTCAAATATATGATTTGTTCTCAATTCCATGCCCTAATTCGTGGTCAAAATCCAAAAATATAAATTTCTAGGTTTCTTTTAAAATCCCATAATTTCTATAAATTTTCATGCTTGAATCCATGTAAAAACTATTTATTTAACTCACAATGTGAAGAAATCACTTACCCCGTTATAGTTGATGAAGATGGCACTCCAAAAGAGCTCCAAAATCGGCTCCCATGGACGAAATGAAGTGAAAATGAGCCAAACTCCCGATTTAAAGAGAACACACTGCCCAGCGTTCATCGCACCTGCGGTGACCTGGCCGCTTCTGTGGCTCCGCAGGTGCGGTCCAAATTCCGCTCCTGCGGTCCAGACCACCTAGCCAAGAACTCGCACCTGCGGAAGTCTTTTCGCTTCTGCGGGCATCGCAGGTGCAACCTGCTCTCGTGCATCTGCGCATATATACGCACCAACGACGGCTGCCTCGCTCATGCGCACTCGCAGGTGCGCTGCTCCAGTCCGCTTCTGCGAATCCACCAGCTCCAGTCCATTCACACTTCTGCGAGCAATTCATCACACCCGCGGTCTCGAACCTGCGGCCAAAGTCACGCATGTGCGATTACACCAGAAGCATTAAGCTTCAAAAATTCTTAAGTCCGAAAATCGATCCGCTAACCTTCCGGAATCCACCCGAGACCCCCGGGACCTTAACCAATCATACCAACGTGTCCCAAAACACATTACGAACTTACTAGAACCTTCAAATCATATCAAACAATGCTAAAATCAAGAATCGCACCCCAATTCAAGCTTAATAAACTTTAGAACTTTAAACCTCTACATTCGATGCCAAAAGCTTTCAAATCACGTCGCGCACAAGTCACATTCGACATTACGGACCTACTCCAACTTTCGGAATCGGAATTCGGCCCCGATATCACAAAGTCCACTTCCGGTCATATTTCTCAAAAACCTTCGAATTTCTAACTTTCGCCAAATGACCTCGAAATGACCTACGGACCTCCAAATCTACTTTCGGACATGCTCCCAATACCAGATTCACCGTATGGAGCTATTCCCAGACTCAAAATCCCAAACGGACATCGATAACATTGAAATAGACCTCAACCCAATTTTTATGATATTTTTCCAAAGTGCCAACTTCCACAATAGGCGTCGAAACGCTCCCGAGTCATCCAAAACCCGATCCGGACATACGCCCAAGTCCAAAGTCATCATACGAACCTGTTGAAATCTTCCAATCCCGATTCTGAGGTCGTTTACTCAAAAATCAAACCTTAGTCAATTCTTCCAATTTAAAGTTTCCGAAATGAGAGTTTTCTTTCTAAATCAACTCCGAACTTCCCGAAATTCAATTTTGACCACGCGCACAAGGCATGATACCTGAAGTGAGACTACTCAAGGTCTCAAACTGTCGAATGACGTGCTAGAGCTCAAAATGACCGGTCGGGTCGTTACAGATTGTGGTCTAATTGAGTTAGATTATTCCCAGACATAAAGATGCCATATCTTTCACCTTTTGCCTTAGGATCTTGGCCACAAGAGGGTAAAGCTTCAACTATATCCTATTGAGCACATCCTGCAAAGCAAAAGCGTATAATTATATCTAACGTGCCTACATCTATGCATATATAGTTAGATTGAGACTCGGCGTTAACCTCCCACTATCATAATGCAGCGATAGACATAATAAAGCAAAAAACTTAAGAAAAAATAATTACCGGGAGTCTACAGAGCATAGGCCCACCAGAAAAGAAAATTTGATTTAATCTTGAAAAAGAATGGTATGAAAACAGTTTAGCCCAAAGGAAGAAATAGAAGATCCAAAAAAGGTTGCTACTATAAAACTCTAACAGAATGAGAAGAATAATACCTAGATTGGATAAATAAAAGGAAAAATAGGCAAAATAGAACTTACTTTATTACTGAATATATACTCCCTTTGTCGATCACATTAGAAGAGTCCCACAGATCCTCCTTGTGAAAAATACTGCAAAAATACAAAAGAAACAAAACCTACTTAGAAGTAAATTAATTAAAATTGAAATGCAGAACCTGCACTTTTTCAAATAAAAAAATAGCACCTTTTCTGGATGAAATTGTGAACCGATGATTTCGAATCCATAACCATGGTTTAACAATGTTGTTGCCGACGAACTTTTAGCAATTCAAAATTTTACTTCAAAATTGAACTCTGGAGTACACGAATGTAGAATCATTATGGATACCTTGAGCGGGAGATGTGAAATTGCAGAAATTTCAAGCCCACGCATTGAACAAAGTTCGCGATTAAGAAAAATAGGAGGAGAATCATTTATGAGGGAGAAAGTGCGAATGAATAGTCCAGAACGTGGGTCTTGTTTCAGTTTTTTTACCTTTGCAGTTTTTAACCTTTTCAGTTAGTTTGAGGGAGAGAGTGTGTGAGTTAGTCTAAGTATTTTGTTGCCCACGTTTGAGAACAATCAATCATGGAGTATTTTCTTTTTTGCTTTATTACTATTTCTATGGCAATTTTTTGTTTGATGAATTTATAGCTTTATAATAAATTAAATAAAAACTAATGAAAAATGTGGGAGTCTATTTTTTGGAGTTAGAATAATTTCTTTTTTAGTTTTCAATTTAGAAAAGTAACTACCCAAAACGTGGGATTCCATGATATTAATAACTTAACTTGTTAATTATTTAAATTGTTGTAATTTTTTTCTATTTTAATTTTGTTTTAATCTCCAAAAGTATTGGACTTTTGTCATAAAACATGACATGTGTTGATATTTCATTTTGACACTTGGCATAATTTCATGGATTTGCTTCTCCTTTTATATATTAATAGATTATTTGATTTCCTTATTGATTATTTTCAATATTCTTTGTCATTCATTTTTGGGAAAGTGTATCAAATCGATTGTTGGTGTCTTAAAATATAAAATTAATTGATTTGACTTATTAAATTTATTTTACGTTAAATAGTTTGGTGCCTATCGAGGGCCCTGACAATCATTCATTTTTCCCTCAAAATTTTTATTGATTTCGCATCTGTCCAATAAAATATCTTCGATTTACATTTGCTGAGTTTAATTTTACAACAAAAAAAAAATTATGTCTGGAGTTAACCCTACTAACTAGTAGGTAGTGTATTTCGAAGGACTTCATAAGGTACATAAGCTGGACAACATGTAGCTGCTCTACACCTACAATATTAGTGATATGCAAGGAAGAGGTTTCAGGAGGAGATTCACACATAGGGCGAGGAATTGAGCTACAGTTCTGGACACAAGAGGTCATGGTCACAACACTGCCCAATTTTATATGGGTGAGGCACTGCTTTTCAAAGGCGTATATAGGCTACACGAGATGGAAAATAAGGAGTTGCTTAGCATCAACAACACCTACAACACACAAGGAAGGTATTACATGGGGAGCTTCACATTCAAAGGAAGGGATCATGAACAAAATCTGGGCTCAAAATGGCATAGTCACCATGCACATTAAGTACTGGACACTTGAAAAAATGCAATGTTTGGTTGCAGATCCGAGTATCTCAAATATTTGCAGGTACTCAACACATGAGAATGCACTCTTTCATGCAAAGGATATAATCACCACAAGGTCGAAAATCACTAACAAGCAGGGCCAATATGACAAACACACAAGAATTATAGTGAATTGTGGCCATTTTTGTAATTTAATTTTTATTACTTTAGCCACTTTTTAGTACATAATGTGATATCAATTTTAAGCACATCACTCAAGATTGATAATAGGGAGTATGTAATTTTATTACATAGGCAGCTACACTACTTAGACTCATTGACATTATGTTTTCTTTATTTTTAGATATATATAAAAACCAGTCCTAGGCACCTCGCCTAGTGGATTTAATTTTTTTTTTTTTTTAAAAAACTAACCAGCAGGTAGATCAAGTTAACACTACCAATTAGAAGATAGGTCAAGGTATGATGGCAGGTGACACGCCATATGCCATGCAAAATCGTACGCCCGATAACTCCCCACGCTATTTACAAGAAAATTCACCGATGAGATGTACTAGCAGGGGTGAGAGATAACCAGGGCTAGAAGATGAATTGAATAGTGTTGTCACTCAGCAGAAGCAATAGAACAATCAGATTGGGGAATGCTGAGGGCTTTGACTGACAACACGATAATCGAAACTCCAACTTTGAAGAGCTAATCCGGTAATAGAAACTCCCAATTCAAGATGTTGAAATTCTAAAATTATGGTGTAACTAAATAGTTCGGGAGCATGAGGTTCAGGTATGCCCAGTAATTAGATTTAGACAATTTAGTTTTAACCTTGCAGAAACATATCATGAAGTAGAACAAATCCCCGGCGCTTCACCCATAATCAAAGGTGTGGACATGAAAAAGTATTCTCAACAACCATAGAAGCCTAGTGCAACACCGTTGCCAATTTTGAAGAAGTTCAAAGTGCCTGATATTCCCAAAACGATGGAACTTCAGATCCGCAAGATTAGGTAATATCATTCACCATAGGAGTCAAAGGCAATAACTTCACTAAGGAGGAAATTGAGTCAGTGTTGGTGAAGAAATTTGGGAAAACTCTAACTAAGGGAGCGCTAAAATGATACTCTCTTCTCCCTGAAAATTCAATTGATTCGTTTGCTGAACTTGCAGATGCATTCATTAAAGTCTATTTTGGGGCACAAAAGGTAGAAAAATGAATGGAAGATATCTTTAAAATACAACAAGTAGTGTAAAATTACACAAAGAATTTGTGGATCGGTTCCAAAGGGAAAGGATGCTCTTGCCACATGTTCTTGATAATTGGGCAGCAATAGCTTTCACAAATAGCTTGAACGAAAGAGGCTCGGAGGTAACTAAAAGGTTAAAGAGAAGTCTTCGAGATTTTCCTCCGACTACATGGAATGATGTATATAACCAGTATAGTGCAAAGCTTCGAATGAAGGAAGATATTGTGGTTCAATCAAAAGTTAGGAACAAGTTCAATAAATGAACACAAGGAATTTCTAGGAGGTCCGAATCTGATCAGAGGAGTTCAAGGAATCACTATGAGCTGTATACCAGTCCATCTCGACGTGATCATGATTTAAAACTAAAACTAGCACAAGTTAATAAAGGATTCGTACAAAAGAATACCACTTTACCTCAAATGGTCGGGAAAGAACCAGACACATCAAAATTCAGTGATTACTATTTTAGGCGAAAACTAGCAGATTATATCTTTAGTATAAGTACTTCCGAGTTGGTAGCGATATTAAGAGATATGGAGGATTAAGTAATATGGCCCAAGGAAATTGTCGCACCCCGTTTTCTCGCGAAAGCGGGCGTCGACGTGTGACAACTCTTTTAAAAGGAAGTATTAAAAGAGAAGAGTCGCCACCTAACGATTTTAAGGTGTGTTAGGGAACCTATTTGCGAATAACTCTGTTTTAACTAGTCTGCCACCAAAGATCGGGTAAGGGCTCAAATTACCTTGGAGAGAAGGTATTAGGCACTCTTCGAGGTCCACAACTGTGGGTCCCGATCGAACTTAAAACTATGTGGATTATGTGATTAAACTAGGCGAGCACATAAGCAAAAATATGAAAGTTGAAAGTCCTATTATAGCATAAACCAGCGCAAGGAAAAATAAACTATATGAATAATTGGTACAGATTTAAGGATCACTGAAGATTATAAAAGCATCGATCTATATTTAGTGACTCAATCCTTTAGCAAGCATGTAAGGGAAAAACGGAAGGGGGGAGCCTAAGTTTTTTAGCCTAAAGGATCACCCTGTCCAACATAAATAATAATTCGCAACTCCCTTTAAGTAGGAGTTGCATTATTCAGCGTGCACGGACTATCATTTCCTGCTACCCAATTACTATATTGAAATTGTTTACTTATAAGTGCTCTAATTCAATTCTAAGTCGTGCCCTATGTGTGCACTACCCGTCCCGTGCCTATGGTCCAGGAGGCTTTGGACCTCTATTTGGGTGGTTCTAGACTTCACTTAGAATGCTCAAAATGATAAAACTAGCGCACATTCAAAAAATAATATAGGACTACACATAAGTACAATTAAAGGCTCAAGTTAACCTCCACACATAAACAACAAATGCACGCGGGCACTTAGGCAGCAGACAATTTCAGACGCATTAGAGTCATTAAGTCCTATAGGCATAGTTTCTATGTGATTCTGATTTCCAGCGTTGTACATGCACATTGCAGCTTTAAACTAACGAATTTACAGATTAAAGGTATTACAAACCTATAGACATGACATCTACATTGTTCGTGCGATGAGGAAGTAAGGCTGTTCAAGAACTGAGGGTTTACGATACTGATTTTATAAACACATTTTTAGGCAGGTGACAGTATCCTTTAGGCAGGATTTCTAACAATGGAGAATTGCAATTGATTTTATAATGCTTTATCCCTAGAGACATTTCATCTAAGGCGAGGCAGTGTGGTTAAAGTAACAGAAGTAGTCGATTGATTGATTAAGGTCTTATAGACATGCTTTCTAATGAACATGAAGCAGTTATGCAAATTGAAAGAATGTTTATTTCCTATAGGCATGCTGTCTAGCAACACACAGTAGTAGTCATGAGAATAAATGAAGCATTTGAACTCATGCTTTGATGGTAGACAAGTAGTGTGTGTGTGAGTTTCCTAAAGGCATGGTTTCTACCAGTGGAAGTTAAATGGCATATACAGCAAGTCAAGTAAATCACATGAATCCTATGGGCATGTTTTTCTACCCTTGCATGCAAATAGTAGAGTATACCCATTTCCCAATTTCACTAACACCCCCAATTGTTTATTACAAAGTTATTACAGACCCAATGATGAATGTAATTACAAAATTATACAAGCACTAATAGTAGGCCCACAGCAAGCCCAAAAAGAAATACCTCGCATTGCTTGGGCCTTTAACAACTCTCATAGCATACCTAGATTTCTAATCAGGGAACTATATTCAGCAGGACAGCTTAGAAGCCATAGAGGAACTCAAGCCAAACCAAACAGCCATAGATTAACCGTATTACACAGATATTGAACAACTTAAACCAACTAGTTTACATATTCAGTAGACAGTAGGAAGAAAGAACCTGAGTGTTAGAGATATTCAGGTTTCAGTAGTAAAGAGAGTGGCCAAAAGACCCCAAATCCTAGTGTGTCAGAGTTCACAAGGGTCTCAAATGGACCCCGAGCAGTGCTTACACTAGGGAGGTCAGTAGTAAGAGTCTTGGTGGCCTTGGCTTTCAGCCGACCAAGTTCAGAATAGCACAGGTAATAAATGAGAGGGAGTGGACAATGGTTAAGGGACAGAAGTTGAGGAAATACACTTATAGTTTAGAAAGCAGACGTAGCAGAGTTGAGA